AGTGCTGCTAGTCTCAGGGACTCAACTTGCCCTACCCTTGCTTTTCCCTGGCCTTGCTGCACTGGGACAGCCTTGGTCAGACCACTGGCTCCTGGCCACCTGTCCTGTAGCAAGGACGCAGGGGACAACTCTTGGCTGGACCTCTGCCCTGTGCTTTTCTCCTGAGGTCACATGTTGCACTGTGCACACATTGGGGTGGGACATAGACAGACCAACAGAGACAAGGCTTCCGGGGCAGAGCTCAGAGCATCAGGGAAGCCTGAAGCGATGTGATGGTCTTGGCTCTGGTGGTCTTAGCTTTCTCAGCAGCCTCAACTGGTCTCCTGCACAGCGCAGGCCCCTGCTACATTCCTGATAGACAAGCCCTAACCCAAAGGAGAAGGCAACCCCACAGACTCCAAAGTGGAATGAATCTCCATTAGGTCAGACACAGGAGACCCCTGCCCAGGACCCTGGGATGTAGGATCCTCCCTTGCCCAGGTCCTCTCCCAAAGAGTGCAGGTCTGCAGGCCAAAGAGACACACCCACCACACTGAGGAGCAGTAGCCAAGTAGCCCCTGGCCACTTCCAGGATCACCATGGGACCTTCGTCCCCTAGGGGATCACAAGGCTGGTGTGAATGTCTTACCCTCAAAGCAACAGGGACCAACTGAGGAGTAGCTGTTTGCATGGAGTGCAGACGGAGCTGGCGTGGAGGCTGTAGAGCACCCCAGTATGCACACAAGATCCAGGTCCAGTGCAAATCAGTGGGCCAGCGATGAGCCCTGGCTCCTCTCCTCCACTAGGCCCCTATGTCTCAGTAGAAAATCCTAAGGACTCTAAGAATTCTAAATTTGAATCTGGCTGTTATAGGTCATTTTTGAAAAGTTCCACTTCCAGAGAGGAAGAGACAAAAACTTTTATGTAGCTGTCAGTTGACACAATTCAGCCTTTATGGTCTACGGCCCCCCATTTGTACATTTGCTCTGGGTCCCACAAATATCCAGCCCCTGCTGAGTATGTGGTGCACATCTGGGAAACTGAGGCAGGAGGATCACAAATCTGAATCCAACCTGAGCAATTTAGAAGCTTAGCAGGAACATGTCTTAAAATAAAAAATAAATAAATAAATAAAAAGTGCTGGAGATGTTGCTCAGCACAAAGGCCCTGGATTCAATCCCCGGCACCACAAGAAACAAAAAACCAAAAATTCCTTTCCATCCTGTGGAGATGGAATGTCTGTACCAGCAGTCCACTAGGGTTGGTTAAGAGGTTTAATGGCTGCCCAGCTGGGCTCCCCAGTAATCTTGAGCTGTCCCATGTGACCCATCCCTGCAAAACCATACTGTGGCCAACGGTGCCAGAGTTGGATGTTTGGACAGAGGTGTTTGTGGCAGGGGCTGGTGGAGACTGTCCAGACATCAAAGGCCACAGTTGGACTCCGCACATTCCCACTGCCCCCTCCTCACTCTGCTGCTCCCATGAACACCTAGGGCGTTTGGACTTCTACCCATAGGTGCTCCTGAAAGACGGGCTCCATAAACTTAGGATCCACCTGAAAGGTGCTACTTTTGGGGAAGTCATTTCTCACCTTTTCCTTCAAACCAGACTTGGTAAACACACTACCCTTTCCCAACCAATGCACCCCATGATTCTTGTGGCATTGATCCTACCCCACGCTGTGATTCCCCCATTGGACTGAAATGCCTGATCTCTCTGATACTTCTCCACCCAGTTCTCCCACCCAACACACCAAGCAGGTGTCCTCCTAAAGCACACACCTCTGAAGTTTTGAGCTTCAACATTAAAAGTTGGATAGAATTGCTTCATAACCCACAAAAATTTTTAGACCTCAATATAATTTTTTTCCAAAAGCTTGGAGTCAAGGCATCACTCCAAGAAGATGGGTCTTGTTTATCCTATGCTGTAGGTTCCCTGGGAAACCCCAGTTTGAGAAACAGAGGCAGTCTAGACTGTGGCATCTCCCCCACCCTCCTCTGGAATGCTTTTCTGGCTGTACAGTTTGTGTTCTGCAGTCTTGCAAAGAGTACAGCAAGGCTTCCTAGTCCCCACCATAGACAGCACACACACAGCATTTTGCCTTTCTAGGGGGCCTAGGAGAGCCCAGGCAGTTCTCTTGGAGTATTAACAGGTCTGTCATCCACCCTGTCTTCTCCAACAGACCATGACAATGCGCTGAGCGTGAGCATCCCCCAGCCATCCCCGCTGAAGGTCCTCCTGGGGACCTCCCTCACCATCCCCTGCTACTTCATCGACCCCATGCACCCTGTGACCACCGCCCCCTCCACTGCCCCCCTCTCCCCGAGGATCAAGTGGAGCCGCATTTCCAAGGAGAAGGAAGTGGTCCTACTGGTGGCCACTGAGGGGCATGTGCGGGTCAACAGTGCCTACCAGGACAGGGTCTCGCTGCCCAGCTACCCAGCCATCCCCAGCGATGCCACCTTGGAAATTCAGAACCTGCGCTCCAATGACTCTGGAGTCTATCGCTGCGAGGTGATGCATGGCCTGGAGGACAGCGAGGCCACCCTGGAGGTCATGGTGAAAGGTGAGGGTGCCCCACGGGGATATCACCTCCCCCACAGGAAGAACCAGGTGAGGCCCTCACAGTGAGAACCAGGCAGGCTGGCTTCTCAGTCAAGAGGTGCAGCCCCAGTTGCCCTCCCTGTGACATGGGGCTAGTAATTCCGTTCTCTCCAGACTTTGGGGACTAAAGACTCTAAGCACAGTCACAGGAGATGGCAGATAGCACCACACAACAAACCAGTGTTTGGGTGGGCTTTGGTAACTGTGTTCATTTTGCCAATGAACGAACTGAGGTTAAATGATATGCCTGAAGCCACCCTGGAAATGGGTCGGGTAACTTTTACCTCTTTTTCCTCTTCCTCCAACCCCTCATTCTCAATTCCAGAAGCCAGACAATGCACTAAAGGTCCCCTGGGCTCCTTTCTCTTGCAGGATGACCCTGGGCTCAAGGTGCTGGGGACCCTGAGAGTCTCAATCCCAAAACCCAATCTGGAATCCTGGAGTGACAAGAAGCTAATAAGGGGGTAGATTTTAGTTCACTTCAAAGAACTTCCTGATGATCAGAATTAATACTCAAAAAGAAAGGCCTTGTGAGTTAGTGAGCTCCCTGTTACCCAAAGTATTCCAGCAAGGAGACAAGGACCACATGCAAAGGTGGAGAGGGATCCATGTTCCTAAGGGTCCCCTGGCCATTGCTGTGATTCTGAGGGGCCTGGTGACCAGAGCTGTCCCTGACGAGCTCTCCCACCGGGTGCCTCCGGCAGGCATTGTGTTCCACTACAGAGCCATCTCCACGCGCTACACCCTTGACTTTGACAGGGCCCAGCGGGCCTGCCTTCAGAACAGCGCCATCATTGCCACTCCTGAGCAGCTACAGGCCGCCTACGAGGACGGCTTCCACCAGTGCGACGCAGGCTGGCTGGCTGACCAGACTGTGCGGTGAGTGACCACCTGCCAGGCCAGGGTGTGCTTAGGGGTGGGCTGGCTCAGAGGCCGCAGCACAGAGGGGCTGGCAGTACAGCACTGACCAGCACTGGGCTTATGCCGGC